TAACCCATGAAATCATTGGCTTCAACGTGAGTGAAAAAAGGCGTTTATGCTGTGAAAAGAAACTGATAATGATAAATAGATCGATTCATACCCTTTATTTTTAAAACAATACTGTCAGAAACCTTTCACTGCCTTATTCTACAGAAATCACAATCTTGATGGATCTTTTTTGCCTTTTTTGTTTTTGCTTAAGATTAAATGTAACAGGAACAACTGTCCTGCAATGTACCTAAAACTTGATGAAGTCTTCTTTAAAAATTCCCATAGGAAAAAAAATATATGGCGCATTGAGTAAAATTAAAATAGGTATATAAAGTGTTTAATTTTTATAAATTACATTTGGCAAACGTCGCCGTCAACTAGCGATGTCTATTACTCAATTTGGTAATGTTTAATGTTTGATATATACATTTATTTTTCTTTAGAGGGCACGGTAACGAATCCTACAATCTGAATGGTTCTATAACCCGTCAGTATTTTCCTATCTCTGCCCACGGGCAACGGTAACGCTTTCTTGAGTCGGTGAGTGCATCCCTACTTTCATTGCCATTTTTCATAAATATATCTCGTTTTTCCGGCTGGGCAGTATTTTTAACCACGGACGCCCGTCAGTATCTCGAGCCGATAAATAACTTATTAATCCTCTCTTTTCTCTCTCTCAAATCACTTTGGTTGACAGAAAAATAGTGGTTTCAGAATTAATTTGTATAAGCAATAGCGTCATTACGTTGGTTGACAAGCGGCCTCTGCAATTAATTTTAATCGTTCACAAAAAGTACCCATAAAGTTAAAACGTGAGTTATTTGGTTACAGTTGAACTAATCGATGGAACTTTCATTCATTAATATCTGAATTTTCTCAAACAATTTGTTCGTAGTGAAAGGGGAGCGAAGTTTTAATTTCAGTTCTCTAACAAGTACACGCTCTCCGTGAGTCTTTCCAAGTCCGTTCAATTTAAACATTTTAACCGTAAATTGCACAACAGAAACTGAAGGAATTCGATTAGGAAAGGCCCTATTAAATCCCCTTGTGCCTCCTTGGAGTGTATCATTCGAATTTAGTTTTTATGGAGGAGAGACCAGATCTACAGACGCCATTACAGGAAACAAACGAACAAACTCTCACAACTTCAAAATAAAAATTTGACTTTACTTACAATTACTTTCCTCGCCGTTTATATAATGAACAGAGATAAATCTTCGTACATGAATTAATCTTCCATGAGAGTGAATATTACTTTTCGTAAGATCATTGACTGTTTTTGAAGAAAACATTGCCGTGACAGTTCTTGCCAAACTGGTTTGGTTGTTTTTCAAAAGTGTACATGCGCATTTTTTTTTCTTACGCGCTCTCTAATTGATAGGTGTCAGTTTGTGTCAGATACTTGTAAAAATAACGAGTCATAGATTGTTAAGAAGCCTTTTAAATCACCCTTATCATTACGCATATGAAAGTGTTTAAGTAAAGCATCTCTCTTTAATTTGCATCATCTCTATTTTAACTACGGCATTTACTCGCTCAAAAATTGCTCAGTTTATGGAAGATCTTGCAGTATTTACAGCCCTAAATCACGATTCGGGTTCTCTCCGAAAGAATTTCGTTAAGTTAAAAAAAAAGATAAATATGTTATTTACCGGTGTGACGATAGGTTTTCGCGCCCAAACTGGAAAACTGTATCTTCGCGGACGGAACAATAACAACTGGGGGAAATAACTCGGTAGAGACCACTTGGCAGCGAGAACGGAAACTCGTCACGATTTCCTGGTACACGGAGATCTACTTCGAGCGAGCTTATACGAACGTCAAGGATAAGACAATCTTTGGTTCCACAGTACTTTTATTCTAGGTCAGGCCAACAAGCGACATGACCTCTAGCATACTCTAGTTTGTAATCATCAAAGCTGTACAAGGTACTTGCTTAAGAAGTAACTGGTGTGAAGTGCTATTGTTACACAAATCGCAATATTTGAATAAGGACACAAAGGAGCGGAAAAAAGTCTCTTTGAAGTTAAACGAGAACTACTTAAATATTCCATCTGTTTCTACGACGGAAAGAATCTCAAAATTAAAAAGACGGATGCAATAAACTCTATGCCATTAAAGTAGGAAACTTAGGTGCGAATTTACAGCTCTGGTATAGAAAACAATACCTATCTTAATTGCAGTAGCGCAGCTCAGGAAATAAAAACGGAAAAGCAATTAAAAGTTTCTGCTTATCTATGCAAGATTGGTTTGGAAACCATCGCATGAAAAGAAATTAGATTTACGAGTATAAACTCAGCTGCTATCTACCATGAAAACCAATGTTTTCAGAAAGACCATTAACACTTATATTTACCAAAAAAAACCATGTAATAAATAAAAAAAGTGCCGACAAGCAGGTGCATATGATGAAAGCGAGTAACAACAAAAATCTATTCAAAAGCTACTGTGGTTTTTATGCATTTTTTTATTTATTAAAATGAAAGGACTTGAAATGGTTAAATGTGAAAGTTTACGAATAAATATGTTCCGAATAACACACACGGGAAAATCAATGAGTTTTCCCGTAACACCGGCTAAGGGGCGGTCCGTATGGTGCAAAACTGTGACCGGGTCACAGTTTTGCACCATACGGACCGCCTCTTAGCCGGCAAATAACATATATACATTTATGAATCGTTTTTTTCAACAGATTGTGTCAGCGTCACAGAATTGCTATGATAAGTGACTCTTTGGCTCGGCAGCTTTATATCTGTTGTTTTCAGACATTAGTACCCAAAAAAACTAGCGTCGGCGATCCCATTTTCAAATCAATATTGAGTAAATAAACATCAGTTTATGACCAAAAATTGCACAAATTAAGGTCAGAGGTCACATATCTCAGAGGGACGTGATCACGAATCTTTTACAGAGGCCAAAAACTTTTGGCCTACAAACGTAGTGTTAAGATAGGTCTTTCCAGCGATGGTATGTTTGTCGGCATACATTGTTGCCCATAGGAGATATTTGTTATTAAAAGACCCTACTTTTCTTTTTTGGAAAAGTTGCGTGACACAGTCAATGATTAACTGCTCTAAATTGGCAGAAGTTGCATCAAATTACCCCAACTTTAAGGAATTATTTCCTTACGGTTGAAACAACCATTGGACGTCATAAGTTTAAAATCCATTGCATTCTCTTAATGCGAGAGAGATCGGTTGGAAGTGCGTTTTTCGAGCTAATTCTAGCCTTCTACCTCAGGGATTTGATGTGAGGGTTCTAATTCCCCAGGGATTGATCGGAAGCCCACTTAATTTTGGATTCTTGAATAACTTATTGACTTTCATTAACTGTGAAAGTTTGAAAGAAATCGGTGGGATGGCATGTGTCATGCCTGCCCGGTCCTCTGGTGGACAGACTCTTAATTCCACTTCCCCGCAATCCACCCCACCCCCTCCCCCCTCCCCCCTCCCCTTGTGCGAAGAACCATAGTGATAGTGATCACTGAACTATTTACTAAAGGATGGCGGCATAAACACCTAAGAGGTAAGCGCGGTAATACTAATATGTTACAGGAAAAGTTTATACATTCCGATACAGAACAGCTGCTTATGGTAAAGTACTTCATTATTGCCTAGGGTTACTATCTGCTAACAATAATCATCGATGAGACCAAGATCGTTCCAAGTGCAATGTACAAATGCAGTTCATTCTCGCCTTCAGTGCGGTGAAATTTTCAGGCGAATGGAGTGGATGTACTAAAAACCAAAAAAATCTGTGAAAAACAAAAGAAATAATATTTTTAACTGAGTATATTTTTCAATTACAAAAATAAATGCGCCAGACCCTATTTTCAGTACCCCCGACAAGCGTGAGTTAAACTGTATGGACGTTTACATACTAAAATATTTTTCTGGTTGCTAAACGACTTTAGATAGATCAATTCAAACCCACATTATGACATTTTGGTCAGTTAGACTAAGTAGAAAGATCCTTAGGAATAGGAGGATTACAATCTTAAAATATACCTGCTTGAGAATTATAATTCTGCGGAGCGCTTTCACTAGCCATTTCCTCTTCAGCCTTTAGCAAACTAGAATTGAAAAATAGATGTTAAATATCCAACTGAGATTGATCTGAATACTTGTGTAACACAGTCAAGGCTGCATGCAGGGATCATCGCAGACCTGTGCATCTGAAGCATGTTTTTTGTTCATTCCTTTGTTTATTTAGCTTGGTTACGTACAGTACATTCTCTTATCGGCCTGAGTGTCAGTGTAAATAACGATTATATAAAAGTTGCGTTGAAGGTAAAAATCTAATACAATGCGATCAAATGGCTTAGCTGGAAATCAGAAAAATTTGCTTTTTGGAAACCAATAGGTTCTGTTCCGAAAAGTAACATGCACGGCTTTTGGGAGCAATGCGTTGTCTTGTTCCCAAAATTCCATGTTGTGTTATCGCCCATTGTTGATGCTTTACTCTAGGGAGCATATTTCTAAGTGATTTTTCTTCACTTTTCCCTTGATGTAGAACTAAAAAAAGAAATTTGCACTTGAATATTTGTTATCAAACTGTTTGGGTTCGCAGATGTAAAACCCCCACATCCGCTAAACCTAATCATAGCTTCCACGTTTCGTTTTATTCGGGCACTACAAAGGAAACGCCCGAGTTGAAATTCCGGCTTCGTTTTCTTCTTCGTTCGGTCGCAAATCGCAGTCAAGCCCTCATCACGCATGCGCAACCTTTTGAGTCTGAAGCATGCGGGACGTTTTGACTGATGAGCACACAGGATGGTGTAATGGCGGACAAAGAGAAGTATAAGAAAGGTAAAATGTCGTGCCAGTCGATATTTAACATTGTTATCTTGTAACAAACCGATGTGTTCTTGCAAGAATGAGCCTCATTTACCAAATTATTGCAATTATAAACTAAGCAGAGTCATGCAAGCACAAAAAAACAAAGTTTTTTTTCCAACAGGAAACCTGGGTGAACGCAAAAATGCGTCTAGTTGTAAAAGTCATGGGAAGAGCAAATACTTACTCAGCCAGCAGCTCGTCAAACCCTTCTATTGTTGTCTGCATTTGGTCACAAATGATTCCCAGTTGTTCAAGTTGCTTGTTCAAGATGTATGACTGGCTAAAAAGTGCTGCCATTTCGGCTGACATCCCATCTTTGGAATTTTTTAATTTCCTTTCAATGTCTTTCAGTGCGGCGTCCTTTTCTTTCCTTAAAAGCCTCTTGCATTTTTGGTGGAGCTTTTTTAATTGATCTTCAAGGAAACTTATCCAACAATTTACTTTGTATCGGCTGATTGGGAATCTTCTCTTCAATTGGTCTCCCAAATGAAAGCCACGAGCTAATTCACCAAAACCTCCACCGACAGCTCCAAAGGTCCCTCCCACGTGACCTCCCACTGCTCCACCTGCAATTACTCCTTGAGCGATTGTCTCTCCAAGCAAGACGGCCCCTAGAAAACCATAGCGATAAAGTCTCAATCACATATAATAACTCATGACAAAATGAGGGCAATGTGTTAGTTAAAGGTGCCGCATCAGTTACCGTCCTAACATGAAGTATGAATTAGATCAGTTAAGTTACATTACGCAACCAGCTCTTCATCCTGTGGGCTCAGTCTATTTCCATGAATCAGCCTTCATTCATCAAAGTTAAATGTACATACCTGATTGGTAAAATTTTAGTGTTAATTCACTGATTTCGTGACTGCAGAAACGCAAGTCTTTATAGCGAATGGTTCAAAGGTATGGTTGATGCAATTTGTTGATAGCCTCATTGTGGGTAAGCTTCGGCGTAATACATTATAAATAAGAGATAGTGTAGTCCTTTCTTCTGGGTGAGTGTAATCCTGAGAAGAACGTTGTGGGTGGTGGCGACCGACAACCTGAGCGGAAGTATCATCACAGTCAAGCGAATAGTTGTTGACTGTCGAATGTTGTTAGTGCAGTTCGCATAAACTGATTGATCAGTTTTGCCGTGATGTTGTCGGCAGTAAGACTCAAGTGTCGTGGGTTGATCAGGATTGGTCGGTCTCGATCCGTCGGTAAATTTATGTTCGGTTCGGTTCGTTTTCACCCGGACGATCAGATTACACTATCAAGTTACCCCCTGGTTCATACCATTTATCGTAAATCGTAAATACTGGAGTTCCCTTTGACTCAAATTTCCCAATGCAAAGTAAAATTGCAGAGATATACTGTCACAAGTCTACACCCGGGGACGCTGCCTAAGCTGGAGATATCCGAGGCGAAATTGTAAAGATGCACTGACTTTCGGTAAATCAATACCCTGAAATACAGCTCATATTTGGAACACGCAGGGTACAATTAGAAAGATACGTTAAAACAAGTCTACACCCAGCAATATGGACGAATTTCGTGGATACATAGCAAAAATTGCAGTAGCAATGTACTGAAAAAGGTCACGCCCGGGACGGCCCATGGTGAAGTGAATATGGGGTTTTAGATGACTAAAAAGGACTGGACTCTAACTTGAAAAGTTTGATTTCGACTCACGTACCTAAACCGGCACCGAATAAAAGGAAGGGAGTTCCGACAATTGCGACACCAGCAAGGGTTGCACAGATGTAGTTATTTGTGACGTAGTAATTAACATCGCGATACCATTTGTATTGGTCTTCAGGTAATCTTTGAATCTCTGTAAGCTGCAGAAGTTCTTGAGACGAGGGCATATTAGGAGACTGAATCTTGTAGGACTGTATGTTTTTCTTCAACTCTTGAAAGGCTAAAACAGTTGCATCTCTTTTCTGTGCCAAACTGCATTTGATTTCCTCATTGATTTTGTCGAGAAAGTCTTTGACAGCCTTTTCTTCTGATTTGCCCTCTAATAAGTCGTTTTCAAATTCCTTAAGAAACCGTTGGACTGCCTTGTTGGTTAAAATTTCTAGGTCTTTATCACTACTCTCGGTGTCATCAAAAGCTTTACGGATAGTCTTGATGTCTTTTTCCACGAAATCCAACTTTTTTCCCAGACTTTTTACTTTTTCTCTCTGTCTGGTGTCGACCATATTTTTTAGCTTTGTGCAGACCTTCCTGGAATCCAAAGCGACAGATTTTGCTTGCTGAGTAAGTGACTTTACCTTTAACTTTGTTACACTCTTGGCCAGTTTGTCCTCGAACTGACGAAATTTATCCTGAAAATAAGGGGGAGTTAGAAACTCGCCTTTCTTTTAGAATTTCATGGTATAGAAGTAAAACAGCTAACTTAAACCATCGTTTAATTAGTCATTGTGACCGACAGAGGTGGTGTGTCTGGGTCGTCGAGGCGCTTTAGCTGTAATTGTAACCTCTTACGTTACCACACTGGCGAAAATACGCGCTTTTACTATTTCTTTCCAACTTGCTGCGTGAATAGGGAAACCTCAGAAAAAAGGAGAAAAAAGTTTAAAAGGGGTTAGAAGCTTCTAGTTTTGATTACTTCAGAACAGACCTATATCTTGCCTCTCCATGTGCATATTTCCTTAAATTGATAATTTAAAGAAATATGCATACACTTAAGCGAACCGAGTTGTAAGATGCATGGACTCAGTACTTACATCAGGATTTCCAAAGTCTTGGACGTTCACGAAGTAAACGTCGCCTTTCTGTTGAACCGCTTCGCAGAACTCCTTTTCGTAATCATTCGCCCTTTCTTCCGTATTTTTTACGGTGTGTTCTCCTTTTTCCCGCGCTAGTCTTAAGCATTCGTCCCACTTTGTGAAGACGGCAAAAGTGAATTGACAGCCAACTCTTTTCACCAGGTTAATGAGCTATGGGAACAAAAAATAAGATTTGGTTTTAAAGTAGAACAAAAGACATTGAAATGTGAGATATGTTAAGGGGCATGGCCATTTTCATGAAGGGGGTCCAACGCTGGCCTCTTACTGGCATTTAGGGGCATGTCAGGTTCTTGATTTACTGTACTAATATTTAGTTCCTTCAGGAAGAGGAGACGAGCTTACCCACCTACCACAAAACCCATTTTGTCTCAAGCGTAATGTTTTTATCTAATATAAGATAGGCGCCTTATCACGGTCATCTATTAAGTGCAGATATTCCAAATATTAGTGAACAGTATATGAAGCAAAACCTGAATCTGTGAAACGGAGAGTAAAGGGACATGATACGAATTCCTCAGTAAGCAGGCCCTCTTAAGATCCGACGAATATTTAACAAATAGGGAAGCCGCGACTGTGCTCTGTTCTGTTGTAAGGCATGCAGGAAGCGGCTAGAGCACTTCTTTCGTGCTCTAGCCGCTTCTTACGCTCTAGCATGTTCTATACTCTCATAAAGTACGCTACAATAAGCCAATCCTAATCCATGTTAGAATGATTCAAATAGTCTGAATGGCTGTACAAGACTAAAGCTGTCAAAAATGTCAAACCATCAAAGTTCACATTCTGCGATAGTTTTCAAACTTAAGAGCCAATGTCAACATGCATCAGACAAACGGCGGCAAGTCCCCAAAATTCGTTTTCTCTCCTACTTTCATATTTTGTAGCCCAATATGTCCTAATAATTGTGATGTAGTTTTTTGGTGAAAATATATTTTAGTTTTCGAGAAATGGTTTTTTTCGTTCGACCGCTCAAATATGCAAATTCTCATCATGAATTTTACCCGAGTTGTGTGACCTCATGTAACGAATTAACTTGACCTCCGGTATTTCTGTCAACATAATCCTTTGTTTTATCATCTAAACTTAATCCCCTGTCATAATTGAAGCTGACAAATAAATTTTTACTTTTTGCTGAATATTTTTGTCCGACATACTTTTTCTATGTCGAAAAGTAGCATCAAAACAAAGACAGTAACAATGACCGATATGACAGAATCTACTGAACTTCTTGCTTTTAAAAGACAAAAGGATGGTTATAAGGTTACTGTAAAAATTTCCTTGTGTATTGGTGTTGTTCTATCGTGAGACGAACTCAAAGTCCGGCAAATTTTACTTGCTAGCTACTACGAAATGTACATGGTGTGCCTACTTGTCGCCACCGTTTATTGGCATAAATCACTACAATTTGTCAAAAAAACTAACACTCTTACCTTGTTTATTCATGATTTTATAAGACCAGTAAGCTGTTTCCGTTATTAGATTACGCAAAAATTAATACCCAAGCGTGTCAGATTACGCTTGGGTATTACTTTTTGCCAGGAACCAGGTTTTACGGGCTGTGACTAAAAGTGGGACGGGGACGTGGGACTGGGACGTGGGACTGGGACTCGGGGACGTGGGACTCGGGGACGTGGGACTCGGGGACGTGGGACTCGGGGACGTGGGACTCGGGGACGTGGGACTCGGGGACGTGGGACTCGGAGACGTGGGACTCGGAGACGTGGGACTCGGGGACGTGGGACTCGGGGACGTGGGACTCGGAGACTCGGGGACTCGGGGACGTGGGACTCAGGGACGTGGGACTCGGGAACGTGGGACTCAGGGACGTGGGACTCGGGGACTTGGAACACGGGGACGTGGGACGCGGGACTCGCGGGGATTCGGGGGCGTGATAAACAAACAACACCTGAATTTGTAAAGTATAATTTTCGGTGGTCTCGAGAAAGGTGTAATATGCTGGAGAGCTTGTCGGAGATTGACTTCCTTGAGGAAAACCTTGAAAACTGTTCTGTTAAAAACCGGTACTTCGTGGGTTATTTCGATGGAAAAAGAGACGAGTTCGAGGATATGCTCGAGAGTTTTCTTCTTAGTAGTTCCACATGCTTTGTAAAGAAGGCCTTGCACTCAAAGGACTTAAACCACAAGAGGTTTTCGAAAAATGGTGGGCAGTTTCTTTTATTTTTAACTGAATTTTTGCTTTTATCAATTCGGTGTGGGCCTCGTAGAGACTATCTTTCAAAGGCAATGTTGTAAAAACTTACGCAATGAACACAATGGTGGTAATGTACCGATCCGATTTTTCGGCAAACCGTTTACCATCTAAGCAATGAAACGCGGCATTGCCTCCACACACCAACAAAGGTGAGAATTCCTTTTGAAAACAGAATTTGAAATATAATAAAACGTACCAGTAGCATTCGTTTTTTGCATAACCCGCGAAACTGTTTTAATATTTTTAGGCATTTTAGTAGAGGAATCTATCGAACTTTTCGCATACTGAGGAAGCAAAATCGGGAAGGTCATTTACATCCATTTACCTCAGAATTCCCCATAAAACGTAGGGTGTATACAATTCCCGAAATTCCCGTTCGTTATTTCACGAATCATTTGACGTTTCAGAGTTGACAAATTTTTCATATTACGAAAGTAAAAAGCATTGAACTTCTCTCAACGGACTCAACGCTGCAAGGAGAATCTTTCTCATAATTTACTTTTTAAGAGACAAAGTTACCGTATAAAATTCAAACGTTACTGTTAGGCTTATTGGCACATTGATAACCTAGTAAATAGCTCAAACATACTGAAAAAATTTTTATCTATTTTTGGATATCTTCATCTGTGAGCCACATGTGACTAAACTATTCTGTACCCAGAGTTCTCACGGTCAAATAAGCAAGCAAACATATCCGGCCGAACCATGGACGCTGGAAATCATCGGCTACTACTGACAAGCTCGGGTAAAAATAATAAATAATAAAAGTAATAAATCGGGTAAAATAGCTTTCTCGAGACCACCGAAAATTATACTCTACAAATTAATTGAACTTTATAGTGTTCTGGTGGGAGAGCAAAGCGTGATGCTCTGGGAATAAAAACTCTTAGGGGCCTTTTACATAATATCGGAATGAGTTTTGTTCAAGAACGAGTTCATCCCGGTCGCCACATGATAGCAGGGTAAAATTATTCGAAACGAGTCACCAGGCGATCGGATATGAGTGAGGATGCTTGTCGTACCTTTCAGGGGTCAAAATCAGTGATCTGGTACCTTTTACGATGTCTCAAACTTTAGTGGAGTACCAGAGACCTAGCTGGTACCTTTTACGATGTTTTTCGCTCAATAAAATACCTGAAATAAGCATTACTAGGGCGATTCTAATGATCTGACTTGAGCCTCTGGAGCATATCGATAAAGGAGTTTTTATTTTTAGGATTTTTCAATTTTTTGTGTTTAAATTGGTACTTTTTAGGGGTAGATATCAGTTGTTGCCACTCCCACACGGATAAGACTCAGGTACCTTTTATAATTTTATAGGGGTCATTTTCGTCTCCTGCCACTTGAGCGGCAAAATGCCCTTTGAGGTGCAAAGCTTCTAGTGGCTTTGACTTTAAAGGGAACTTCGACAGAAACAAGAGTCAGAGTGATTTACAGACCTCATAACGTTCTTTCTGTTGTAGAAAAATTGTGCAGGTAGATTTTTCCCAATGAAAATCAGATCCTAAACAGGTAATGATAGAACCAAAGTGTTTGTTGAGTAAGACGAAGAAAGAGATGAATATATAGCGGACGGTATCAAAATCGAGCGCTACTCCAGGATGCAACACATCCACGTAATGTGTGATTTTTTTTTTAACAATAGCATAAAGAATAATTTTCTAAGCTATTATTTCTTAGCTCCACTTTGACAAGTTAATGAGCTAAAGCAATATTCCCTGAAGAGGAATGCGCGCGTAATCTTTGACCAATCAGAGCTCTCCAGAATATGTTTCGCTGTTATACGGATCTTTTGCTACTGCAAGTAAATGTTTCGAGAACAATAGGCACTCTGTGCGTTATTTTCTTTTTGAGGATTTTCGTCTCTGCTCATGTTTTAATAACGTAAATTACGGCGCCTGGCATGTTTACAAATCTTTGTTTGGTTCTGCTGTTGCTACTTGCCGGCTCAATTGTTCCGAAATTTCACTTTCAACTATCGAAAAAAAGTTAGAGAGAAGTCCCAGAAAAGGTATGACATAGTGCAATTTGGCAGATGGTGTGACAGCATTAGCTCAGCTCTATGCTCTATACTCTTATAGAGCACGCTCTTTCGACCAATGACAGCGCGCGTTATATTCGAATTTTTTTTTATAAACTTTATTCGTTGATGCAAAGACTAAAGTAAACAATGTTATTAACGCTATTATAACTGTTACGGTGACTTTACTAATATAAGTGTAAGTTTTAACCGAACTCAAGAGAAATACATTCTTTAAACATTGGAAACAAGAGCATTTTACTCACGGTCCTTGATGATGGTGACATGGAATCCATAACGGCTACAATTATGTCTGCTTTTTCGCCCCTCTGAGTGGTGAGTTCATCGTCTTCATCATTCTCTCCTAAGCCGGGTGTGTCACACAAGACAACGTTTCGTGGTAACGTTTTGCATTGGTTCAGAGGCCAATTGACTCGTAAAATGGTGCGTCCATCGATTCCTTTCTCTTTCCGTCGCTGTTCATTTTCTCGACCTGTCATTTTACTCAAAAGATCGATTACAGTCTTGTCGTCAGTTCCCACTGAGAGAATCTCTTTGCTTCCATCTTCGCCAATTATTTCAATGCTCCACTCGCTTTTCTCGGTGCAGCAAACTGTAGTAAAACACATGGTTGTTTGCATGAATCCAACAGGCAGACGACTTTCGCGGAGTAGGGCGTTTATGAGGGATGATTTGCCACTGCTGACTTTTCCAACAAATTGAATGACTATATCTTTCGAGGTTTCCTTTTCACGAACGTTCCTTAAATCAGTCTTTACTTTGGTGAGGGTTTGGGATAATTCACTTAATTCATCATATTCCTTAAACGTTGCTCCCTCTTCATTGAGGATCTCCTCGTACTTCTTCAAAATATTAGTAATCTTTTCTGTATCTTCATGCAGTAGTTTTGTCAACTTTTTCACTTCTTCAGTAAGTTCTGTCAACTTTTCCCTCAGATGCTCCATGACTGGTGAGAATCCAATTAATGCTTTACCTTTAGTGATGCAAAGAAGGTATAAAGTTTACGTCTGAAAATAGATTAAAAGAATACCGTGAAAATTGAATTTTTTTCCTTAAAGGCGACACTTCCTTTTGTTTATGCATAGAAAATGTAGTCAAGAAAGCCTAAAGTTTCAAATAGTTCCCAGCACCTTTAAAATATTCAGGAATTAAGCCTGTTAGAGGAAAAGCATATTACTTGCGAACAGGTGAGTAAGGTGGTTGTGTCTCATCCGCAAAACAAAAGTGTAAGAAAAGACAATTAATAAGTCCTAAAGGCTTCCTTGCCCAAGGTAACAGACTGGGCACGACACATTGTTTATAATATTCTGAAAGGTGTAGCGCTAGTTTTTAAAGCTTTGATGAACAATTGATTTTTTTTTCTTTTTTAGAACGATAGAGTTTACAACAAAGCTATCTCGATAGTTTCATGTAGGGTACGCTCGTTTGCTATATTGGTGGTCATGTCGGTGGCGCTCGATGCATGACAGGACGGATAATGCGTGCACTGTAAGTACCTCCCGTTGTTCCATACAAAGCCTTAGAAAAGTTTTCTAAGGCTTTGTATGGGACAACGGGAGGTACTTACAGTGCACGCGTTTTCCGTCCTGTCATGTTGCAATGTCCATCGACGAGTAATTTAATATCTTATTTCCTCATCTGAGCTGTATGTGGAGGTCGTTTAGTCTTTCCGACGTTGCAATTCTTTTGGAATCCTTTTGCTGCCGTGAACAAGCTGTTCTTAATTTCAAAACGCCTCCCGTGGTCGCAAAGGCCTCGAGATCTGTATTTTGTAATCACACTGATGATAAAGTGAACGTTTTTATGAGCCACGACTTGGCCGAAACAACTCAAAACATTTCTTTTTACGGAAGTGTTCAGCACTAGTTTATAATACTCAGCGTAATGTAAAGCGCTTTTGAATGTCTGCATAGTTTTACCGCTATGTAAATCTATTTTTATTATTACTTTGTTTGCTTTCTTCTTTCGTCAAATATTTCAAGACTTTTTGCATAACTAAATGTATGCGCGCCACGTAAGGCAAATTTCACGTTCTTTCCTGCGGAAAGCAACGGCACTCTGGTAGCGTTTCCAATTCTGCGACTCGTTGCTTCAGCATTACCTCAGAGGCCAAAGGGTCGTCTAATGCTTATTTTGCTTAGTTAAGCAGCCAAATGATGTTTCCCTAATCGGAAGGTTTCATGTTTTGTCAGTTGTCTTGCTCGATCTCTTTTTTGGAATTGCCAAATATCAGACATAGTTTGATACTACACTGGTTTGCAGATTTAATGAATATAACCGAAGAAGTTACAATTCATAGACCCAACGTTTCGACACTCCTTTCTAGTGCCTTCTTCAGGGGTGATCTAAACGCTGCAACAAGAGGTCCTTTTATATGATCACTAATTAGCGGCCTTTCTTCTGACGAGGTGTAGATAGGCGTCAGGAAGCAAACCGCCATCGTCACGATTTAAAGGAGCGTGGGCGGAGTTAATATGCCAAGCCTCCAAACAAAGGCGCTGGTGGTAACGCCGATTAGTGATGATAATTTTAGAATTATCCCACCCAATTGTATGGTTGGTTAGGCAAGTATGCTCCGATAAAGCTGAATTTTCCTTTTTGCGAAGAAAAACCCCTTTTTGGTGCTCTTTTAAACGTGTACCAAACTGGCGTTTGGTCTGTCCGATGTATTCGTTGTCACAGTCATTGCAAGGAATAGAATAAATGGCGTCGGTTCGTTGTTCTTTAGTGACAGGATCCTTAGGTTTGGCGAAAATACGCCCCAAAGTCTGAAAAGGTTTTTGAGCAACTTTAACGTTGTGGCTATTCAAAATTCTCTTGATGGGTTCAGTAACACCCTGTATGTAAGGAATAACAGCAAAACCAGTCACTGGTTCCCTTTCATCAAGAGCGTTACTATTTGTAACTGGTTTTTGGCAGTTACGGAGAAAAGTTTTTGTATAGCCATTTGTCTTTAGAACATTGGAAACGTATTTCCTCTCCTCTGCCTTCGAATCGAGTGAAGATAGTAGACAGTCAGCCCTCCTGAGTAAAGTTTTGGCTACAGACTTTTTATGGCAAATAGGGTGGTGAGAATCGAAAGCGAGGTATTTGTACACATTTACACATTTAAATCAAGAAAGAGTAAATGTCTATCCTTTTCACGCTCAAGGGTGAATTGGATCGACGGCTCTACTGAATTTAAATGCGACAAAAGGCGCTCCGCTTCATTTCCGGATACCGCAGAAATAACATCATCGACATATCGTTTCCAGAAAAAAGGGTTTAACCGGTGAAGTGGCTGAGGCCCTTTGTTCCACGTCTTCCATTACCATGTTAGCAATGACAGCAGAGACAGGCGAACCCATCGCTGTACCAAAAACTTGTTGATAGTATGTGCCGTTATATGTAAATTGCGTGGTTTTGAGGCAAAAAGACAACAGATGAATAATATACTCCACAGGCAAAGAAGTTCCTTTTCCTAGGGAAGCATCTTTTCTGAGTCTTTCCTCCGCAACCTTAACGGCAAGGTCAACTGGGATTTTGGTGAAGAGCGAAACAAAGTCGAAAGATACTAATTCTTCACAAGCGTCAAGAGTTTTATCTCTTATGAAATCCGCAAATTCGCAGGAATTTTTGACAGTGTAATCAGTATTCCCAACAACAGGCGACAAAATGCTCGCAAGGTAACCAGAAATTGCATAAGTCGGAGAATTAGCAAAAGAGACAATGGGTCTCAAAGGAATTCCTGGTTTATGAATTTTAGGTAAGCCATAAAAACGCGGACATAAGCCGTCACTACTGTATAACATTTTGTAAGTAGAGTCACTAATTCAACCAGCTTTTTTCAAATCAAGCAACATTTTGTTTAACTTTCTTTGAGTTTTACTGGTAGGATCAGAGTTTATGACAGCATACGTACTCTTGTCATTAAGCAGAGAAAAAGATTTGTCGTGATATTGCTGTTTGTCCATAACCACAACACAATTACCCTTGTCAGCAGATAATACGAGCCTGTCCGGATCCTTTTTGAGAGCTATAAGCGCATTGAAAACATCCTTTTGAATGTTTTTTGGAGGAGGTTTAGCACGCCTGAGTATGCTACTTACTTCTGCTCTTACCAAATGCCTACGATCGTCGTCGAGTTGAGAGATACTCTCCTCAACAGCGGCGACAATTTCGGCAGTCGGTATTTTGCGAGGAGCAATAGCAAACTTCAGATCCTTCTCTAAACCACTCCGTTCCAGCGCGGATAACTCCTTGGAGGTAAGGTTCGTGACCCATTTATCTTTCAGAGATGAGCCTGAATTAACAGGAGACCTCTTACTGAGCAAGTGACGGAGTTTTCTGTCGTGTTTCTCTCTCTGTTTGGTAAACGTCTGCAGTTCTTTCGAACTGCAAAACTCCTCGACCCAGGAAGTTTCGGCGTTACCACCAGCGCCTTTGTTTGGAGGCTTGGCATATTAACTCCGCCCACGCTCCTTTAAATCGTGACGATGGCGGTTTGCTTCCTGACGCCTATCTACACCTCGTCAGAAAAAAGGCCGCTAATTAGTGATCATATAAAAGGACCTCTTGTTGCAGCGTTTAGATCACCCCTGATAAAGGCACTAGACAGGAGTGTCGAAACGTTGGGTCTATGAATTGTAACTTCTTCGGTTACATTCATTAAATCTGCAAACCAGTGTAGCATCAAACGATGTCTGATTGTCCACCTGGTCGCCGTGTGAACTTTAATATATGCCAAATATCAGTTGCTTACCTCAGGTTTGGCAATCGACGGATTGAGCGATGGCACGCCGAAGTAAAATGAGTATCTTTCAGATTTCGTGTTGGTAACTTTGAGGTTTTTTCAAAGTGTTTATGTAGATTGATTAATCTTGACGGCGTCAACCTTAATTTGTTTTGCTCTTGACCCAATGCTCCTTATGGTAACGTGATCTCAGCATACGTTTCATTTTGCTGAATTCAGTGATTGACAAAGGGAATTTTTTATGGGTCAGGGCTTAATCAGTACAGTGGGAATGAAAACTCCAAACACTAAGGAACTTATTTGAAAATAGACGAAGATGCCTTAGGGTTGTTTTCTTTCTGAAGTTTTAATTAAAGGTTTTGTGTTAACGAAAAAGGGACCTGAATTGAAAGGCGGCCTTTGTCGTGCAATTACGTGTTTTGAGTCACCATAGAAGCGTATTCACCTCCCGCTTGGCTTTTAAACATTATACGGCACAAAGCATCATATTTGAGCAGAATATGATAAATTAATCATGATGAATCATTTTTGTGTGACAAATGACTCGGCGAATATCATCCAATTTGTACACGCATATCACACCAGGTTAAAAGGGGACAAATTTATAGTTTTCTCTCTTTTTCTGTTTCATCTTTATGTTAGGGTGGTGCACCTCTTTTGTTCAGTTTTTACGTCGACTTTTAATGACGCCAAAACGAAATTAGCGCCTTTTTAAATTGAACATAGAAGACCACTGATACCAAAAGGAGTGTTGATATTGATATTACTTCTATTGATAATATTTGGTTGGGTGATGTTTCTAATGAAGTTCTATACTACAGAAAGATTCAAGACAGCGTACCAGCAGAGCAATCATTCAGAAATTGGTCAATATGCGGTCAATAAGTGAAAGTGGATGGCTATCAGCAATAGCGTTCTGCATTTTTGCAGGGCGCCATTCAAGTCAGAGGTAGCTTGATATTTTATTACATCAACAGCTGCATTTTAGCGACGTTCCAGTCTCGGTTCGTCCAAAATCTTAAGTTATAGTGGCATTTTTTCGCGGAAAAAGCGTCAAGTTTTGCAAAATGGAAAAGTATTTCCCTTATTAGGAATTTAGACTTCGAGTCGCTCAGTTTGTCCGATCTTGCTCATAACAACTTAAGGACTGTATTTGGGACTGCTAAATACGACTCACCTTTCTTATGCTGGCTTTAAATCAGTGTATTTCAGAGTTAGCATTGGAAGTTGTAGCCTTTATGTAGTTTGATCGTTGACTGGCAACGTCTGTCGTTTGTCTGCTATTAAGGTTAGCCCCTAATGACAACTTGATCCCTGCCTGCTTACCATGTTTATTGGTTCAGTGATTAAAGAGCACTACTTTTTCATTGGTCGGTAAACAGTTGACGAGTTGTTGATAAAAATTATAGAAAACTGGTCTATACTGTTTGGTTATGGCACGGGGTAACAACGTTCATATTTTTCTTACAACGCTGATTGCGTGATAATCTATGGCGTAGAACGCAGCTCCAACAGGACAAACTCACAAGCAGAGCTTTCGTACTTAGGGTAATAGGGAAAACATCTCCAGTCAATGAGGTGTGAAGTTCTTTATTTTTAATTGCTCCAGTTGGTATGCCATGGCAACAAAGCCCCTATAATGCCGCCACAATTCGCCGCCATTGGTTTTGGGCTGATATTACTACTAATATTGTTAAATGGAACAAAGAAAATTTGATTTGACTGTGAAGATCCATCAGTGGAATCCGAGAGATTGTATGATTTATTGTTACGATTTAAGGTAATTCTTCTTGAACTAAACAAACGATTTAATTTTATTTCACTTATTCGAAAAGTTGGATTTTAAACTTTCGATTCAAGTTGAAATATTTTGAACATTTTTTTTGGGAGCGAAAGATTTTGATTTTATATACAACGCTTCAAATTTTATATATAATACGCTGCAGTTCCAGAAAGTTAAAGATCCTGCGCCTATGGACTCTTTATGTTAAAGAGATATGAAAAATTACAAAAGACAATATACCCAATCGTTGTGGAAGGCTGTTAAGGAGAAGAATAACTTAAACCTGTGCCATGATAATGATCTCTACATTATCAACATAGTTTATAAGCATTATACAAGTCAGAGATAGGCGATGCAGTCACCATGTGGTAAGCATAGGAATCAGTCTGCCTGCATCCTTCAAAGAGATAATTATTGAAGGCGTCATCGATGCAAAAGCATATTCTGGAATCGATTGCAGCTTTGATCATGACTTAGCAGATTCCATAGATCAGTAGGGAACAATGAAAATCAGGAAACTTGCGGCCCGGTCTTAGAGCCTTTGATGACCCAGCTACAAAGATAGTGTACAACGTGGAAGTGAACACGAGGTTTAAAGTATGTAGACGATAACTTAGAAATTTCCGAGGGCATGTTTACTCATATCAAGAAAACTGAACCCCTGAGAGCCAATGAATTATGTATCTCTGAGGCAGTATGATAAGGTGGAGAAGGGACTTCGCAACTTCCACTCAAGGAGGGCCTACATTGCAATAAAAACCCTAAAAAAGCCTTACAACCACGGGAAAGAAACATTTAAGACACAGAGGTTCGAGTACTGAATGATATCCAAGACATTCCATTGCTCTTCACCTGCGGTAGAATTACTACTGAGCCTTTTCTAATTTTTTTTCCCTTAGAAATGCTCCGAGTTGAAGACATTAAATTGTTAAGGTTCAGACTTAATTCAAATACAAGGAACAGCCTGAGAGTCTGATTAAGAAGATTTGAATGGAATCTACGAGTAGTGGTAAACATTTGCTGTTTAACAGTTCATTGTGTGAGACAGCTACAGCTAGACAAATGTTAGTGTTTGGCTTCCATTATTATGGCTGCAAATACAGCCTCTCCCTTGGACGCAATCACACTAGCTGTGAGCTTAATAAAGACAACCTTATCTATCAAAACAATTCAAAGACAATTGTCTCGTTATGATTCAAAATTCCATTTATGAACACCATAGAGGAAAATAAGATTTTAAACAATGGAAGTATTTTACCGAAAGCTTGCTGAACGAGGGTGGTCAGGAATGATAATCTAAAGGTCTGAATGCGTTTTTTCGGTGTTGTTCCTTGAAAAATCGTTTTTTTCTTCCTTCTGGTGTATAAAAAAAATACTTCTGAGGCAAAGTTCGTCTCATTGTTTACGATAACACACCAGATTACTGCGGTAATTTGAAACATTCAAGTTGTAAAACTTCTTGCATGAGTAAATTTAGAGCATTTTGTCGTTGAATAAGATAAGACTTCTTGTTGCGCGACTCAATCACTTGGAACTTTAAACCATGCCTCACGCTACTCGTTCGGCCCAGAAGAAACTGTTCTCTGAATTGGATATCATTCAGTCCAATAACAGAAGCGCTATGACTGTTACGGTTTTATTTTTGACATAGTTTTTTTCTTTGGTGACTTATTTTCCCTTTCCTCTGAGTTCTTTTCACGAATGAATTGGAAGGTATCAGGACCGACATTCGGTGTTAATAATAACGAGTGTACGAGTGTTAGTGGAACTCAAATTATAATTGATGTGGCGTCTGTAATTCCGGATAGTAGACTGTAAATCACTCTTTTTGCTTGTGAATGTCGTGTATGTTGCTCATCAAAACCGTTATAGCGGTGTACTTGGCGTATACAACTCTCAGTTCTGATCTTTCATAACAAATTCCTGTCATATTCTCTGTCTAAAAAGACAAAAATCAAAAATAGCCAGCCTTCTAAAGAGGGAAATTGTTACCAAGGTAACATGACATAAATATAAGGATGCCATGTTATAAATTTGTAAGATTAAGTCATTTAGACTGCTATACCATTAGCTTTCGTTAGGTGACGATGTGAAATGATAACGCTTCGAAATTCTGTAACGCTGACACAATCTATTGGAAAAAATGATTCGTAAATATGAGCCATACTATACATTTAACATCACCGAATTGAGTAATGGACGTCGGTAGTTGACAGCGACGTTTGCAAAATGTAATTTAGACAAATGAAACACTTTGTATACCAATTATAATTTTACCTAATGCGCTATAATTTTTTTGCGTTTGCGATCGTCCTCAAGCCACGCTGAAGAGAAAATGTGGCCAAAAATCAAGCGTTTTCAAAATATGTTGGCAGAAGCCGAAAAATCAGCTCGGTTAATAACTGAATTCCGCCAAAATGCCGCTTTTAAAGCTAAATATTTCAGGCGAATCTCAGAACGTCGCGTCACAAAATGAAAAAACCTGGACTAATGAAAAGTAAAAAATTTGTAAAAGACAGCATCAAACATGTGTTGACAACAATTTGAGCAATTCTTGACCATTTGACATAGTTTGATGCTACTCTGCTTTGCAGATTTAATTAACTGATGTAACCGAAGAAGTTACAATTCATAGACGCTTCGACACTCCTGTCTAGTGCCTTCATCAGGGGCGATCTAAACGCTGCAACAAGAGGTCCTTTTATATGATCACTAATTAGCGGCCTTTTTTTTTTCTGACGAGGTGTTAATAGGCTACAGGAAGCAAACCGCCATTGTCACGATTTAGAGGAGCGTGGGCGGAGTTAATATGCCAAACCTCCAAACAAAGGCGCAAGTGGTAACGCCGATTAGTGGTGATAATTTTAGAATTATTCCACCCAATTGTACGGTTAGTTAGGCATGTATGCATGTAAGATAAATGGGTCATGAACTTTTCCTCCAAGGAGTTATCCAAGCTGGGTTTCATTTTTTCGTCTTTTGGTTTTGTCACGTTCGTCTTGTAAGTGTCCTTGTTTATTTCGCTTTGTCGTTTTCAAGTACTTTCACTTATACGTTGTAAGTTATTTTATGCTCATTCGCGAGTTTGTTATTTTGTTATTTTCAGTTACTGTGTTCAACAATGCGTCCTGTCAAGTTTATTCAATTTTCGATGAACGTAAGTTTGTTCTAGTAAAGTTTGAATACGAGTGATTAGCGTTTGCGGCGATAAAGTTCGCTTCTATTTCACGTAGCTTAGTCCTTATTCTTGTTGTTGTTATATTTGTACTTAAATATTTGTATTAATTACTTATTTTCAGTCGAATCACATTTACACATCTACACTTCTTTACATCTAAATATTTGTCTATCTGGGAGTTAGATTAAACGTGCATTCGTGTTGTGGCCTTTATATTTTTATGAACTCAACATCAGGTGAGACACTCGAACATATCTCTGAACATTTTGCATATTACAATGCATGCTACCAAATACCAGTTAGAGGCCTGACACCAAGTTTATTTTCTTAGCCAGCAGGAAGGAAAAAATAACAATGAGGCGAACAGTAAACGAAATCCATTTAGGAAAGCGAATTAATCTAAAAAGTAATTTGCTGTTTGCTGAGTTCGACATTTTTAGGAATCAATCAAGTCCTTTTGTCCTTTGGAGTTTGCCCCTGATGTTTTAATTCAGGAATAAAATGAAACATTATCTATAGAAGAAGGTCCATTCGTGGCCATAGTTTTACCTTCAGAGGAACTTTTCATTACTACACGGCACACGTTGCAAATTTAAAAAGTTTTCGATTCGTTGCGTTCAGTAAACAGGTTGAATTTAAGAATTTTGAAGAAGACAACTAGCAATGTCATTTCCTAATCCCATCCACTTACACAGGTGCGTTCGTATGAGATCGGCAAGGAATCCTCTGCCGGCAGCTTGACTTCCAAGAGCGAGATCAATTGAAAATTACGCAGTTTTAGCTGTATTCAGTAGGGAGAAGACCCGTATATCAGCACTGAATTTTGTCTAAGGATGATCTCAACTTCTTTTACACAAAGTGATTTCTGAGGTCAAATATTTGCTCAAAACAAAAACATCATTCTCTTAATGTTAGACAACGCATGAGCAAGAAGAAGGAATACCTGTTTTATCCGGCTTTTCTTTACGGATTGGTAATGGAGACGTTTTCTGTATAAGGAAAAAACATCTTTCTTAAATCTTCACCGAGCTCAAAACTTACCATCTCTACTATTTCTATCTAAAAACATTACGCTATCGACATTGCTGATCCTAACAGTATGCAGGGCCCCTAAGGATACCAGCCTTGCAGCTGACTGGGCTACCCTGGTAAAATAAAGTTGTCTTGTCTTGTCTTGACGCGTGTCATATGAACTTTGTCATTTGTAATAGACCTCGCCCACCGAAGAGTCTCTGTGGCTCAGTGGTAGAGCATCAGAGCGCAAATCCGAAGGTCTGAGGTTCGATTCCTCATGGAGAATCAGAATTTTTTCTTTGTCCCACGCTCGTGACAAGACGAAAAAACATGCTTCTTAATAACATTAACAGTGATAATAATGATATCAGTAGCAATACAATAATAATTTAAGATGCCTATGTCACGATATTTTCGTTTTGGATTTTATAGCTGTATTCCATATTTGTAATAATCGACCTTAGCGAGTTCTCTTTAGAAGATTGTGAAGACACGGAGGCAACTATGATGAAGAAAGGTGAAATCAAGAAGAGAGGACGAACGTATTACGTGGCCGGAGCACCAAATGATGTTATGCACAATTATAATACACATACACCGGGTATTTCTATTCACTATTCTCCAAGAGATGTAGCTGTATGGCCAAAACAGACGCGTTTCGATCGTCGACATCGAGGAGATTTTACTCTTTAAAGTCGTCGGTCTTTTGCTCCGTCCCGGCTTCGAAGGCTTCGAACACATATAACTGGACAAACCGGGGGAAGATGGCCATCAAATTCAACTAAAAAGAATGCTGATTCCGGGGCCTGTTCCCACACTGGACACTACTGTTCCTGATTCTGTTTGGCTGACATTTCGCAAGCGAATAATTATGAGATTCAACTTGTTGTTTAATTCACGTGCTTGAGATGTACTCGTAATCCTTGTCCTTCCACATAAGCACATTTGCGCTTTTCTTATCGTATGAAAATCCTACCAATAATACTGTTCATCGTATTTTGATAACAGAAAAAAAAATCATTTGTAGTCAAGGTTAAGCCCCCTTTCTGAGCTGTCCGATGTCCTGAACAGTGCGAAACCTCTGCCGGATACGTAAGCTCGTAAATCCAGCTCACGAGCCCTCAATTTCCCCCTGCCTACAAGAAACTGAAAGGCGTAATAATAGCAATGTCTTCGTGATAACAGCACTGCAACGAGATTAATAGTGTACCACAAATATTATTGAATTAGATGGTAGCGAATCGATGCGCTGGATGAAAGTCGATGCAAACGAAATTTTCATTTGCAACGCTGATGTAAGTTATTTGCCAGAGTGCGAAATCGGTTATTTGGCGATGCTGCACTTCAATTAATGTTTTTATCAATCAAAATCTTTATTTGAGATAAACTTGATGCAGGTGACTATAAACTCACTCGTTCCGGTTTTACGGCTCGACAGCGATAGCCTCTGCCTTTAAAATTTCTGAGGAAAAGGTGCAACTCCCAGTAAAACTGCCCGATGACTTCTCGGCAAAAAATCATTGTGCCTCGTGATAAAGCTGATCCTTGTGATGCTTCTGTCAAAAGTTAACTTTTGGTTTGCTTAGGAAATTACTCTACAGCAGCTACAGCAATGAAACTCGAGAGCACTGACCAAGGAGAACCTTCGCCGCTCTTAGTGCGAAGGAATATGTTATGGCAACAGAAACGAACACAGCTACCCAATCTTTACATAGATTTCGCCACGGAAAACAAAACATAAACCATACGAATAAAAAATTCAGTAAAGGGGGCTTTTGTTTTAACCTTAACACGCAAAACAAAATTTCGTGTGATAGGCACTTTAGAGGGGCTAGCTCGAAAGCCTCACTGTTCCCCAATCATCTGGGTTCTAACGATGATTACCGATACTTCTTTTAATATCGCCTATTAGTTATAAATAATTTCCTTATTTTATTGCAATTCCTCTTTTCGAGACTTTTGTTTCACACAAAAAGACATTCCGCGTTTTGGGATATTCCAATCCACCGTTCCTCCTTCCATCAATCGGTTGAATAACTCAGAGTAGCGTATTTCGCAGCATGCTTGCTTCGCAAATTTAGCGGCTCTTTTCGGCAAAATTCGATGATTCAGACATTAAATTGGTCTCTTTTTAAAGAAAGCAAATTTCCTCAAAGCTTCCATGATGAGAAGATCACATCTACTGGGATATTTCTGCGAGGAATAGTTTTTTAATTTAAATTATGCGTCGGTGGATGCCACTTAGAAATTATTTTGAGATGTTTATCGTCTTTTGTGGTGTCACGGCAAAAACTGGAAGGATTATTTATTTGGATCTACATAATTTGCTGATTTAAACGGTAAAATGCTCCGTCTTCGAAGAAAATAATTTTCTGAGTTTCAAGATCCGTCTATAACAGGAAAAATTTTGTTTTTTGGCGCGCGCAATCCTGAAATGATCGTTGCATGTTTATCGTCTTCTGCTGTCTTCCGTAGTGGCAAGGCAAGAATGAAGTCAACTGTGTATCGAGTGCGAATGTCGAACAACTAAGATACTCCGAAATTAACAATAAGTAGCACTGGGAAACATCGGCTCAAAATTGGGCAAGATCGGAATCCTATTGTTACACTCACTCACTCATCTCAACAACATATGTAGCTTCGTCTCCTATAGGAGGCAATAGCCACAAGAAAATATATATATATATATATAAATTTATATAATAAGCTCAGTTATGCACGCATTCTGATTGGTTCTCACTTATGATCTATTGGAGGACAGACGTATAGATGACGTCATCGTTAAAAAATTCTAAATTCAGTGCGGAAGGTGAATAGTACAAGTTATTTGCACCTTTAGTCACCTTACAAAAAGAGGTGTTGAACGTGCTAAATGAAAAATTTAGAATTACCTACTCTACTTACAAAGTAAGACCGCCAAAGAAATAGGAAATGATCAACTAGCTAATAATATTGCTTTGGTTTACGGGTTTTTTTAACTGAATGGCTTATGCTAGTATACTATTTACATTCCCTTTCCAACACTTAAATAAGTTAAAAACACATCTGCAGAAAATGTATTTGAAAATCATCTCCTAAAAGCATTCATTCAAATAGACTAAAATATCAAAGTCGATTATTAGTTTTTTACAGAATAGGAAACAAAGAGTTGTTGTTGATGCCATTGTCACGGACTATGTAAATATCAATAGAGGTGTCCTTGCCCTATACTATTTTCTATTATGTCAATGAGCTTGATGCCAATTTTGTCTTCCAACAACATTCCTTTCCAAGTATACAGGCACTATAGAATGATTACAGAGAGCCATCGATTAATTTCGTTCGGTAAAACAAGTCGAATTTAAGAATTCTGAAGAAGGCAAAAAGGGGGTGTGATCATGTATTTGAAAATCATCTCCTAAAAGCATTCATTCAAATAGACTAAAAAATATCAAAGCGCGCTTGTATGAGATCGGCAGAGCATCTACTGCCAGCAGTTTAACTTCGAAGAGTGGGAATCAGCAATTCTCTTAATTCTTGTCTTAGGAATCATGCATTTACTGTATTAGACAAAAGCCCATAGAGCAGCACTAAATTTTGACTGCGGATGATGCCAAGCTCTTTCATAACAAAATGGACTAAAGAAAGATTCCACGCAGAGTAAATAATGCTGAATACGATTTGATATAATTATGTGCACGCGAATTTTCTTTCAGAAACGGAGTTACACAGATGTGCCTCGTGTGGCAAATTCAACTTTCTCTTTTACTAATTATGATGTCAGATATTATAATGTTCAACATATCAGAATATTCAGGTTTAGTCGATCAGCTTACCCGATCCTGTGTTAGGAACTGCCAAATATTACTCGCTTCCCCTAAGCTTGGTGATCAAGGTTTTTTGAGAATTTTGCTCAGTAGTAAAATCAGCTTCTTTAGAGTTGCTGCAGTTAACTGTGGGGTCTATGTGTCTACGTAGCTCGATGAATCTTGACGGCGTTAAACTTTTGATGCTTTTTTTCTTGACCAAAGTTTATCTATGATATCGTGATCTCAGTCTGTTGATCATTTTGCTGGGTTCACTGACTGATAAGGGTAATCTATTTATGGGTCACTGAGGATTTAATCGATGCATTGGATATATATTCTTAACTCCTAGATTCTTATTTAAAAATAGCCGACGATGCTTCGGGGCTGTTTAATCATAGCTTTCACGCCAATAAAAACAAAACTTACGAGAAAGGTGGTCTTTGTCGGGCAATTAAGTGTCTTTTAGTCTCTATAGAGGCGTGTTTACGTTACGCATGACTTTTCAACATTACGCGAAACAAAACATAATTTTTTAATAGAACATGATTAAGGATGGCGATGAATCATTTGTGACAAATATAGCTCGACGACCAAATTGAACACGTACTTCATACGTGGTCAAAAACATGATAAGTTGAGTAAAGTCTGACTGTGGAACTAAAAGAAGATCGATAGGAAAAGGAATATGGATATTGACTTCACTGATATCGATGGTATTTGTTTTGATGATGTCTGTGGAGAAGTTTCACAATACAAAAAGGCTCCACACTTCGTACCAGCAACACAAATATATAGTTATTTGGTGGATACGACCAGACATGTGCATGCTAATGGCTATCCGGTATGGCGTTAGGCATAAGTGCATTGTACCGCATAAGCGTAAGTTGATATTTGCCTGCATCAGCGACTGAATTCCCAGTCTAGTCGCGCCCTAAATCTTGAAGTTCTAAGTGACATTTTTGATTGGAAAA